GAGTTCACATATTTTAATACTTTTGCCCCATTCCACCATCCAAAATTATAGGACCAGATAGACAAACACAGTATCCTAACAAAGGTTCTAATGGAGAAAATATTTTTAAACTGTATATATAGCTATGCTCTCTCTTCCTCAGCCTTTCATTTTTTAGTATTTAACTCAATGCCTCATCATATTCTTGTCCCTGTTTTAACCTTTCTTTGAAGGGTGTATATATGATTAAATTTATGAGATTCTTGTATTTCATCATTTGATTAGCTTCTCTAACTTTGGTAAACAATACACAAATACGTATTTATGACAAATAAAATTGTTCTTGCATTTTGGTTTCTGGAAATAGTTCTAACATTTTATTGTTAACTTAGACAAGTGCGTTGTATATGTTTCTTTGTTAAGAGAAAACATCTGTTAGCTTGGAGCTTTCCTTTGAAGAGATATTTTCAAATACTTTGACTTCAAATCAGAACTAATTCTTGGTTTTAGAAGAAGTAAAGTAGAATCCCAAAGGCTGTTCCTGGTACATATTTTCATCACTTTGTACCTCTAGACTGAATTTTTTGAGTACAGTTTACTTCTAAAAAATAGAAAGGATGGTATTAAGGGTTTTGTTCACTGTTTAAAGCTAGATGTTGGAATTATATATTTTGAAATCCATCTGAATGCAACTGGGCACAGCATTAAACAGCTTTTTAAAACATGAAAACCCAAACCGAAATCACTGGAGAAAAAGACATTTCTAGAAAGTGGTAATTATGTACTACAACAGTAGCAGTTCAAAGCACATTATCCCAGTCTCTCTTTTCTATTTGTTAACCACAGTACCACTTTGGAGACATGAATTTTGTTGAACTCTAACTAGGTGAGAGTTGGTCCTGTACAGCCTCAAATATGTTCACCAAAGAGGGAACAACTATAAAAAAGCAAGGGCAGATGCAGGTAATATAAGAAAAGAGGAAAAGAAAGATTTTCCTATAAAAATGGAGGAAAATGGTTTAGCTTTAACAGTTTTTACAAGTCAGTTCTCCATACTGTGGAGTTCAGCTGGTGTCACCAGATCCATTTCACATGTCCTGCCTTCGGTCTGACTACTGTCTTTGAATTCAGAGACCTGACTCACAGGCCGTAGTGCAAAGACTCATTTCTTCTCCCTTCCTCCCCTCTTTGCATTCTGCTGTGATTCCACTCTGTTCAATCAGGTGCTATAAACTTATTCAGGGACATGAAAGAAATTCACAGAACGCTTGTCCTTGCCTTGTGTTGACTGTAGAAGCAGCCAGTTCAGAGATGGGCCCGTACAAGTTATTTGTATTAGCAGTCCTTCATCCAGCCCCCTTCGGTGCATAGTTATTCTCTTTTCTGTTTTACTTCATTGTTTGATACATGTTCTGTCATTCTCTGCAGAAGCCTACCTAACAGAGAAGGAGAAAGGGAACTACCATTCCCTGAACCTATTATGTACTTAGCTTTGACTTAAATATGCTTATGAAATCCTCACAACCTTCTGGAGAGAAGTGACGTTATTCCTGTTCTCTAGATGTAGAATCTGAAGAATGATTTTCTCAAATCACTCAGCTAAAAAGTGGTAGTCCCAGGATTTAAACTTATTTTGTCTGATCCGAAAGCCTAAGGTTTTCTATTAAAAATACAGGACCCCACAGTTGCCTTTCGCTGGTCAAACTCTAATTCAAGATCCAATGGTGCTTTTGCATTTGGACATAAGCAGTATAGCTCTGAGACCTTACTAAGCAGTGAGTTCCTTCGTTTTCATAGTGTGAGAGAGACATTGGATTCACTTGCTTTCATGAATCACTGCACAGAAATGTAACTTTTCCATATAAGACCAAGGCTATATGCATTTTTATAATCATTTTTTAGGAATCAAACTAAAGATGAACTCTTTAAAATTCGGCATTTTGGGGCACCTGGCTGGCTCAGTTGGTAGAACATGTAACTTTGAACTTGGGGTCATGAGTTTAAGCCCCATGTTGGGGGTAAAGTTTACTTTAAAAAAATACTAAAACAGACTTTTTTAAAAAAGATTTTGTTTACTTATTTGACAGAGACACAGTGAGAGAGGGAACACAAGCAGGGGGGAGTGGGAGAGGGAGAAGCAGGCTTCCTGCTAAGCAGCGAGCCCGATGCGGGGCTCGATCCCAGGACTCTGGGATTATGACCTGAGCTGAAAGCAGATGCTTAACGACTGAGCCACCCAGGCACCCCAAAACAGACTTTTAAAAATAAATAAAATTCAGCGTTTCATCTTGTGTTTGTATTGACTTGTTTTTATGTATATCTGTTTCCTATTGAGGTAATCAAGGGAACAGGAACTTTATTATGAAGCACCTAATATTTAACAGGGTTCCTGGGTGTGTTGTTAAATGTTGCATAAATGACAGTCTGTAAGAGGTAAACTTTTACAAGGAAGGATTCTTTCTTTGCTCTTAGATTTGGCATCTCTCCTTTTATGGCTCTTTTTTTGTAGAAGAGACACATCCATTCCTCATCCTCAAAGATTTTTCTATCATGCCTTTCAAATCACAGAAGAGACGAAGACTCTGTCGGTCTATGCTGTGATGCTGTTCTTTATGTAACTTCCAAAGTAAAGAGAGGGCAGTACAGGGTAGGCAAAGAAAGCGTACAGTTCCTGTAAGTAAAAATAATGCAGCTTTCTTAAAAAATCAATCATAATTCCAAAATGGAAATTCGTTTTCTTGTCCTTTGAGGTTAAGTTTTAAATAAACCCATATTATGAGTTATTTTCGTTATCTGATCACCTTCCTTAAGACTTGAAGTTTGATTGGACTGGAAGTCCAAAGCTGAAGTGCAGACTGAGGAGGAATTGGGAATTGTTTGTAGGGTCTCTTAAAGTTGCTATGATAAGAGGAAAGGACAAATTTCCTTAGTCTCTTTTGCCCAGTACCTAGAGGTAGCCAGGAAATACTTTCCTTGGCTGGATTAGGAATAGGCCCATTGTGAAGCACCCTAGATTTCTCTGCTCTTTCAATCTAACTGAGGCCAAGCCAGCCATCTTCCCTCCAGCCCGACATTCCCATACTGCTTAGATTTTAGAAGAAATTCGAGTGACAAATTCCTGCCACCACTGCTTGGATAGTCTTTATTTTATTTCTTTTTAAGATTTTTAAAATTTATTTGACACAGAGAGATACAGTGAGAGAGGGAACACAAGCAGGGGGAGTGGGAGAGGGAGAAGCAGGCTTCCCGCCGAGCAGGGATCCTGATGTGGGGCTCGATCCCAGGACCCCGGGATCATGACCTGAGCCGAAAGCGGATGCTTAATGACTGAGCCACCCAGGTGCCCTGGATAGTCTTTAGTTTAAGTGTCATATGCACTGTAAAATCATAAACCCCTGAAGGAGTAAAATGGTCTAATCTTTCATTGAAATGCCTCTGAATACAATTGAAATATAAAAGGACTTCATGTTAAACAGTGTTATGAGTGATTATTGTTGTTAAGAATCTTATAAAAATTATAAAGTGGCTTTCCATGTTTATTTCCCAAAACCTGATAATATGTTATAAAAACAGTATATTAAACTGAAAAAAACTTTTATATTTAATTTTGGTGTAGAAGTTTTACCTTCCAATTTTTCAGACTTAAAATTTACTCAGGAGAAATATGTCTGTAACATTACAGGAAAATGGAGAATGGGAAATTGGAATTATATGGATCATTTACTTGAGTATAAATCTAAATCAAAATATAATTGCTTTTAAAGAACCAAAAGGTGGATAAATTTTATTTTAGTAGAAGGACCATCATAGATAGAATGTTGGGTTCTAGATTAAATAATTACTAAAGTTCAGTTTGAACCACAGAAACAGAGATACCCTCAAACCATTATAAAAAATTTTTTCTTTTTTTAAGGATACATTAAAAGTAGAATCTTAAGTCCTGTCCTTCTGGAATATAACCTATACTAGAATAATATTGTTGCATACATTTGCGGTCCTAATTAAACACTTTATTTTAGTATTAAACAGGGTATTATTTTAGTATTTTAGTTCACCTCTGTTCTGTTTTTGTTTTTGTTCTGTGTGTTTTAAACAATTAAATTAAATATACTCTTTCTGATTTGTTTAGTTTTTAATTAGGCTCACTTGGGACTGCCTTTAAGAGACCATGATTGTGGTTCTTGGTGCCCTGTGACATCAGCTTTCGTAAAGTCAGGAAGCAAAATACTGAAATTATCATAAAACTAAACCATTATTCTCCAATTTTTAAAGTATGTTTCCAAAACATGACCCAAAAGTGAGAACAGAATCTCTAGAGTCCAATAGTTTATGACTTCTATGCCCTATATATATATATTTTGCAGGTATTTCTTGCTTAGACTCAACAAGGAGACACAGAAAAATGACTATGTAATAGGGAAGAGCAAGTCATTGACCCGTGGCTAGAAATCACAAAACTATGTTTCTGTTGCCCTCCTGTCCTGCTTGTATGGCTCAGGTTCTGGAATCAGCTCTACTTTAAATGATTACTGGCATCATACTTAGGTGAGCCCTAAATGGAGCTTTCCCATTAAAAGACATGAACGCTGGAGTCTGTAGTATGTTGAATATTTTTATTGATCAACTTGAAGAGAACATGTTAATATAGAAATTTCATCTATGATGGAATTGACCAATTGAATATAGAATGTGTTCTAATAGGATATGAGCTTTATTTTTCCTCATTTTTCCTACAGGATAATGAAGTGGTTTAAAAAGATAAAACAAGAACATTTTTTTCCTTCTAGAGGAGACATGCATCTGGCTAGTTATCTCTAGTTGTTGCAAGTTCATTCTTTGTGTTCAAAAGTTTTATTTTCTATATTCCAGATGATTCATAGAGATTAGCCACAGTTTATTTAACAAAGAAGACACACACAAACAAAAGGGTTTTTTTGTTCTTTTTTTTTTTCTTTTTTTTTTCAGAAAGAATTCACTTGCTTGCTTTTCTTAAAAACATCTTTCCCATTTCATTGAGGCAGATTTGGAAGTCAAACCAGAAACTTCAGGCTGTACTACGATGGAAAGCACTTCGTTGGGGAGAAGCGCTTTGAGTCCATCCACGATCTGGTGACTGATGGATTGATTACTCTCTATATTGAAACCAAGGCAGCAGAATACATTGCCAAGATGACGATAAACCCAATTTATGAGCACATAGGATACACAACCTTAAACAGAGAGCCAGCATACCAAAAACATATGCCAGTCCTGAAAGAGACACTTGATGAGAGAGATTCTACAGGCCAGGATGGGGTGTCAGAGAAAAGGGTAAGCTACCATGAAACCACACTTGATCTTCTTCCGTTCGGGGTCCGTATGAAAGAGCCATGACTTCAGAAGAGGGTGGCTCCACAGAGCTTTGAAAAAGACGTGCATTTTCCCTGATGTCTGGTTTCGGTGGTGCTGAGCTTTGCATATATCTAATTCTTGTTCAGTTATGTCAGGTATATGTTTGTGTTCCATATTATTTCCTATTTCATCAGTTTCATGGCTTCAAAACTATGTTGAAAAAAAATGTCCCCTAATTAAAAAAAAAAAAGTTCAGGATTTTGGGTCAGAAACATAACTGCGGTCAAGAAAAGATAGCTGTATTACATGAGAAGTTGAGGAGGTCGCATAATCTATCAAGACTACTTTTTCGTTCTTTATAAATAGTTCTGTTCTTTAGCAAAATGATAATATATCCATACTTTAAAATACATAGGATTAAATTCAGTCTATCAATAACAGTTACACTCTTTAGAGAATCAGTCCTGAGTAACAGCGTTTATCTCCTTATGGACTCTTAAGAAGTAATTGAATCAGAGAGATTTATTTTAATTTTAAAAGACAATTTAAGTTTTTCATTTGGCATATCTTGTAATATATTTAAAGTTAACATTAGAAGTTTCAATTCCTTGGCATTAATATTATTTCATTCTGAAAATTGTCCATAGCTGCCTCCTTATCCCCAAGAAAAAGAGTGAATTTCCTGATGTTTTATATTGTGTGGGATGTAGGTGGGAGAATTTTATGTATTCTAATTGGAATTGTCCTGATCCATTCTTATATTTTTGAGACTTTCCAGTTGCCATGTTAAAGAAATGCAGTATTACATAGTGATTTGAGCTTGGAGTGTGTCATCAGACAGATTTGTGTGCAAATTCTACCATTTTACCTGTTGTGTGAACTTACTTCATGTCACTTAATTTCTCTGTGCTTTGATGTTCTTATTTGCAAAATTATAGTAATAAGTTGTTGTGAGAATTGATTGAAGGAGATAGTATGTGTAAAATAATCAAACAGTGGTTGGCACATAGTAAGCACTTGAGTTTGGTGATAATGTTATTTTAACAGCCATATTACCTCAAGATGGTATCCTAAAATACTTCCAATTGTCTTAAAGTATTTAGGTACAGAATGGAAATCTAAAATGTTCACTGTTTAGCCTAAATTTTAGTTTTTGGCAAATCTAACTCAAATGGTAGTTTGTGGCTACAGAGAAACCAAGATTTGAAATTTTATAGATTGTAGAAAATGGTTTTCATATATTTGTTAGGAACCCAGATCTTTTTTGGAAGTAACCAGAATTTAGAATCCTAAAAGCATGCTATATTTAATATTGTTCTTTTCACTCTCTAATTCCCATTCTCTCACTTTTGGTTATTTTCCATTCATGGCATTTTTCAGTAATGCTTGTATTTAAATATCTCTAATATTGAAAATATATTTTATGCAGCTATGATAGAATATTCTAAGTCAGCATTTGTGAAATATTTTTACAGTGTGTGCAGTAGGTTTTCTAGAGTTGATCAGCCTAATGATAACCTTTGCTAATGTGTTCTGGATATACTTTTCAACATCAAGAAACTTCAGCTAAAGACACTTAGCTCTTTCCCACTGGGCTAGTCATTTAACCTCATAGGGTCTTGGTTGTCCCTCCTACAAAGAGAAAATAGTATTCACAAAGGAAAGACACTGAGGTAGATAATGCCTAGAGGACCCTTTTAGCTCTAGGATCCATGATTGCCCATGTATTCTGGCAACATTACGTGTTACATCGCCTGCATTGTCTTGTGCTGATGACCAGTGATAGCCACATAGAGTGAAATAGCTGGCATTGGAAACTAGTTCTCTCCAGCAGTACATGATTAAGAATCACTTTAAAAATTACTCTTTGCTTTAAACTGCATGCATCTTAAATCTAGTTGGCTTAAAATCTACTCACTCAAAAATAGATTTATTTTATTTATAGGTGTCATCCAACAGGACAGGGATGATGACCTGTTCAAGAGCTTGAAACATTGATTCCCTGTCACAGTTGATGACATTTGTAAGTAAAGACAATCATGTTTAATTGATTTAAAATATCTCTTGCCACAAGTATGGTTTAATAAATATTTTACTGGGTCCTGAATAGCTAAAGCCCCTCTTGTCTGTGAGGGGTTCGCCTTTTCCTCAGAGGCAAAAAGTGTTGATGTTGCAGGGGCTAGTATGCTGCTGTGGAAAGGTGTCTGGTGTTGGAATTAAGAGCTAGCTTCCAGTTCTACTACAGGAATTGATTTCATGGGTCACTTTGGGCAAATTGCTTCACTTCTCTGAGACTGTATTTCCCCATCTTTAACAAGAGGGCTTTGGAGAGATGATCTCCAAGATGTGGTTCTTGTTATAGTCTGTGATCCTTCAGGGAGTGTAGGCATTGTACGAGAGAGAGAACACGGTACTAGAAACAGCACCAAAGTTGGGTCTTGAAAGGGAGATCTGTTTTTAGTTTATTCACCAACGAATTGTATCATTTTGGGACAATCCCCTAGCCTGTCTGGGCTTCAGGTTCTTCACAGAGAAGGGGCTTTCTATTAGACAATAATTTTACAAGATTTTCATTATAATTACTTGCTGCAGAAAGGGCCCCGTGCTCAAATAGGTTTGGTAAAAAATAGTTTTGTTTTGTTTTTTTAACTTACCTATTTCTTTTCTTTGGGCTTCTGAGTTTCACTAATAACCTAACACGTATTAGGACTCTCCAGGAATGTTCCCAAACTCATCTGGATCACCCCACCACTATTCAGAAAATTATTTAGGAAAATAATGTTTCATGAAATCCACTTGGGGAAATTTTGAACCAGATGATCTCTTAAGATCTTCCCTTGTTCTAAAATTGAAGGATAAGAATTACATGTGTATTTTTTTTTTTCAGTCCTTAAGGTGTAAGCTGAGCATCTGAGCTTTGTGGAAGGTTGTCAAGATGGTTTTATGGCCATAAAGTTCTTTTACCACAAGAAGTGAATCCTGAAGTTTCTTAGCTGTCCCTCGGAAATTTCATGGCCTATTGTGAGGGGGGAAATTTTTTTTCTGAGTGACATCTATGTCATTTTTTAAAATTGTTTAAGTTGTTTCTCTAACTTGTAATATCAGTCTAAAACTTAAAATTTTTCTCAAATGAAATTTAATCATGAAGTTGTAGCATGTTGAAAAGCCAGACTTTCTTCTCTTCTAAAATGGCTTAACTTTAGCATCCAGACTGGCCATGAGCTCAGCTTTTATTAGTGGCTTTTTAAAAATTTATCTTGGAACTATATTTGAATAGTTTCTTTTTCCAAGTAATAAATATAGTATGTTCACTTCAACAGATACTGGACCAATGGCTGAATGCAACAATTTTTATGATGATTTTATACTTAATGTAATTTCCATGCTTTAAAAAATGCCTCATAACTGTTAATAATATAAACTGTCAAATATATAATTTGCATTTCAGAAACGTGTGTGATGAGTCAGAACTTTGAATCTAGCCAGAACCTCTTTACTTTTGGATTTTGTTTTCTAAGCCCTGAAACTTTCTCACATGTTAGAATGACCTGCGATGGCAAGGGTGTGCAGAATCCATTTATTGGTTTTATGGAACTGCACCAAGCCAAATGACCCATGTGTGTGTGTGTGGGGGGGTGGTTTCTTCCCCTGGAAGTCTGGGATGGTTGCGATGCTTGGCATACTGTCATATTAATTTATTCTTAAGGAATTTCTTTTACATTTAAATTCCACTTTTTAAGGACTTCTTTGGGCATCACCAGACTGAGAATATATTGAAAAGCCTTGTGAAATTTGAAGTTGAATTGTAATCAGGGCCCTGTCCCAAAGGGTACCTCCATAAAGTGATGGGACTCCACGTCCCTGGGAATGCTGAATGGGGCACAGTTGGTCTGGTCTGCTAATTGTCTTATTCTCCCACAAAGCAACTCTTCTAAATGTTTTTACTTTGCTTAAAATATACATATATATGTGTGTGTATATACATATACACCTATATATTTGTATGTATATGAAGCAGTCTATAGAAAATTGATTTCTTGATTTTGTGCTTTCCCACTCTTTAAGACCTGTCTTTTTTTCCCCTTCTGTATTCCTCCCCAACCTGTGCTCCTCTTGTTCATCTCCTTCCTAACGCTGCCTTTATCCACATCCATCCCTCTCTTCCCTAGTTGAATTTCCATGCTCACGTTTCCCCTGTGGCTTGTTCAGGGTTAGGATTGGTCATTCCAGGGGTGCATAGGCCCTTGGAGAGATGCCAGATGTGCCCAGGATCACCTATTTGTATTAAAAAGTCAGTTTAGTGCTCGCTTCGGCAGCACATATATTACAAAATCAGTTTAGCAATTTATGAGGAAGACTGCAATTGCCCTGCAGAACTTCTAATAGTGGGTTTGTCCTCTGTCAATATCCTTCTTAAGAATCAAGTAAGAGTTATGGCACGCCTGGGTGGCACGGTCAGTTGAGCGCCCAACTCTTGGTTTTGGCTCAGGCTGTGAATGCGGGGTCATGGGATTGAGCGCAGCGCAGAATCTGCCTGGGTTTCTCTCTCCCTCTCCCTCTGCCCCAACCCCCTGCACTCTATCTCTCTCTCAAATAAATAAATAAATCTTAAAAAAAAAAAAAAAAGAATCAAGTAGAGTTTTAAAAAAATCCTACATAGTCAGTATATAAGTATATATTTGTGTGGTCTTGAACAAGCCCTAAATCTCTCTGGGTCTCAATTCACCCCAGTCTCTAAAATGAGGACTATGGATTCCATTACACTGGTGGTTATGAGTATTCATGAAATTTTGTAAAGTGGTCTTCCTTGTATGTGATACATTATTGCACTTTGTGATCAGAGCGATCACCAACCAGATGCCCATTCGTGGGTCTGAGTACTGTTCCCCCAGCCCATGCTGGAAACACCATGTTCAGGTTTCTCTTGAAGATGCATGTTTTCATTGCTTAAAGTGCCCTCCAGGTTCACAAGATAACAT